CCCCCCCCCCTCGGCCCTGGCAGCTCCAGCTCTGCTGGGCCCCAGCCTGGGTGTGTGGAGGGCCCCCAACGGGGGAGGGTCTCTCGCCTGCAGGAGCGCTTGCCGGGGGTCCTCACTCCGCTTCAGCAGCCCCGGGAAAGGCCCCTCCCGAGCCCCCCCTTCCTTCCTTCCTGGGCTTCTGGTGCTGTACTCAGCCGGCCATGATCTCTCCCCACCCTCCGAGATGGAAGGGGGGGTCTCTGTGGGGTTTCCCCTCCCCTTCCTTGGCCCCCTCCTCCCCTTCCCGCACAGCTGGCTCAAGGCGCAGCTCCTCGCACACGCAACCCCCTCCCCAGTGCTTGTCCAGGGGTGCTGTTGGGAAGAAGCGAGGTGGGGGTCCCACATGAATAGCCAAGTTCACTTTGGGTGTAAGATCCGTTCAAAATAAAGACAAGGAAGCCAAGGTTTGGTTCTGGCTGTGTCGCCCCTGGAAATTGTGCCTGGTGTCCCTCTCAAAAGTCAGTGGTGGTTTTCAAAGTGAATAAAAAGGGCTCACCCAAAGCTTAAGGGAGACTTTTAGAAGTTCCTTTCGTGTGTCCCCACTTTAAACATTGGAAACCTCCCTGGCATTTTAGATAGAATGATTGTATTTTACTCTTCTGCCCAATGATACGTTTTCCACGTTTCATATGGATCTAAAAAAAAGTCTCAAGATGCCTTTATTATTTGGTAGGTAATTGCAGAAAAAAAAACAGATGGGCTTTCCTCCTTTCCTTCCAACTTATTGCAGGCCGCTGGATCTGCCCAGGGAGGCTCTCTTGGCAGCTGCGGAGAGGGACTTTGAGCTGCAGGGCCACAAGTTTGAAGCTGCACCAGAGCAGCTGCGGCAGCCACGCCTGGTCCGAGTGGGGCTGATCCAGAACAAGATTCCTCTGGCCACCGACGCACCAGTCGCCGACCAGGTATAGGAGTTGTGGGGCCTCTTCAAGGAGACCAAAGCAGCCGCCTCCGCATGAACCACTCATCCGCAGAGGCCCTCGGCCCCTGAAAGGAAGAGCCCACGTGGACAGCTGGAAACTTCGGAGGGCTCGGTGGGGACAGTGATGCGTGGTGGCGGCCAGGAGGGTGAAAGTGGTCCTTCTTCCTGCACCCTCCACATGTTTTATCAAGTGGGGCAGCTGCCACCTGCTCCTCGCCTTGCAATTTCAGAGAAAAGGGGGGGTGAGATGGTGGGGCAGCCTGAGTTTTGGGTGGGCTCCTTTCCAGGGGTGGGATTCCATCTTTTTTTTACTACTGGTTCTGTGGGCGTGGCTTGCTGGGCGTGGCAGGGGAAGGAGACTGTAAAATCTCCAGTCCGAGGTGGGATTGAGCCGGTTCTCCAAACTACTCCAAATTTCCACTGGTGGGAACCTGCTGAATCCCACCTCTGGCTCTAGGGCACTGAGACGACAGATACAGGTCCTCAGATACTGTCCACAAAAGATGCCTCCTCCTTCAAAAGGCCACAAAGCAAGTTTGGCCGCCCATCATGCAGCCGCCTTCCTTACAATAAATCATCCCAAAGTCATTTTGATGAAGTATAGAACTCAACAGTGGGGACTCTCCTCTTTTTCTCTTCCCTTTTGGTAACCTTCCCGTTACTCAAGATTTTAGCTCTGGGCTTGTGATTTGGGGATGTCCGGGTCCTACGGCCCCTGGGATGCCATCCTGGCTCTGAGCACCAGCTTGAAGGGGAAAAAATGCAGGCCCCCTCACCTTGTCCAACCAGTGGCGAAGGAAGCCCTTCTTGGGCTGAAGAAGCAGAAGTTCCTCGTGATTCCAGGGATGTCCCTGGCAGCACCTGGACCCTTTGGCATGGGGGGGCGGACACCACCCTATTGCTGGGTTTGGAGTCTTATTCTCCAAATAACTGCTGGCTGTTATTCTCCCAAAGGGCAGGAGTGGGAGAGATGCTCCTTGACATCTTTTAAGAGGCTTTGAAGTGTGGAACTCTCCAAAAAGCCTCCTTCGCAATCCACCCCTTTCCTCACTTGCCATTTTCCTATGATTTTGAGCCAGAGGGGGGAAGGGGAGTAACAGTGATTGATTAACACTCTTGTGTTGCTTTAACCTGGGATGCTGCTCCTGCCTAGGTAACCGCGCTGCACAGACGCATACAAGAGATTGTGGAAGTGGCTGAAGTATGCGGAGTAAACGTGATCTGTTTCCAAGAGGCTTGGAGTAAGTCCCTGTTCACCCTCTGCCCTCTCAAAGAATCGGATTTATAGAGTAATTCAGTAACCAGACGGACGTGGGTCCCATGGAGAGATCTGGAGCGGAAGGACTGCCCTGAGCTAGCGTCCATGAGGGAGTGGGGAGCATGAAATAACCTTGTTGGGCAGGTTTGATTGGGCTGCAGAAGAACAACCCTGTGAGGGGAAATAGGTTCATGATGGCATAAGGCATCCTGGTTGAGGAAGACGAGGGAGGAGGCGGCCAGAAGGCAAAGCTAAAAGACCAGTCAGGAGGCAGGACCAGAAGAGCTAGGAAGAAGCCAGAGGGGGAAAAGGCTCAGGCTGGCTAGATCGAAAGGCCCCTCTTGAAAACTCCTCCCAGGTCCTGCCTGGACCCCCGAGAGCCCAGTGGGAGACAGGATGCGACTCCTCCTGGAGAAGAGGGGTGACTGACCAGGATGAGAGAGACCCCCAGTATGGGGGAGGCTGGTCTTCTTGAAGTTTCCCCCTCCTTCATTCTCAGGGACAGAGTCGGGGCAGTGACTGGGGGGGGGGGGTGCGGGGGGGGTGCTGGATTTGGGCAGCATTTGCGCATGGGAAGGGCTTGGCTTCCTGTCACTCGGCCCTGCGTCCAAGTGACAGCATCACTCTCCGAGAACTTGACAGGTGTGGGTCTTCGGCAATTTCTCTTCGAAAGACCGTCAAGCCACCAAAGACGGGAAAAAAAATACTTTGTTGTTTTACGTTGCTGTTTTCACTCTGTTTGTGAAACTGCCTAGAGTCATCTAGGCAAGATGGGCAGCGTCTGAGTGGAATGAATGAATGAATGGATTGATAGAGATAGATGACAATGAGAGAGACAGACAGACAGACAGACAGAGGTGGAGAGATGCAGATACCGATTGGCTTCATCAGAGTGAACGCAACAGGCCTTCATGGGGGGGAGGGGGAGGGAAACGACCTGACCTGAGGCCCATACCACAGCATTCCTCTGAAATTCCCTTGTAATATTTTCTGTGAGTTTTGAAATAAAACGGAAGGCTGTTTTGCAAATACCTGGCCTTGATTTTAAGGAATGTAACCCTGCAAAGTCCATGCCCCCCTCGCCTGCTTTAGATTCCCATCTTGGCAGGGGGGGGATTGCGTTGGTGCCAGAGAGGCAGTCAGTCAATATTTACAGGCTTCCTGACCAGTTTAAAAACTTGTTTTGTTTTAACCAGAGCAAAGCTGGCGCTCATGTCTTTTTATGCTCTTTCCCCAGCCATGCCCTTCGCTTTCTGCACCCGGGAGAAACTGCCGTGGACTGAATTTGCGGAATCGGCAGAAGACGGACCCACCACGAGATTCTGCCAGACGGTAGAGGGGCCCTTATTTGCTCCCCACCCCACCCCTGCAAGTGCTGTGCTTTTAAACATTGTCTGCAGCACACCGTTTGGCTCTGCGTAACGTTATGGTGCATCCGTACCCTGCATTTTCTCTATATGTCCTCATCCTTCTGCAAATTGGGAGGACTGTGAATGTCCTTTACTGCAGGAGCTATTTGGGAGTCAGGCCCATTTAACTCAATGGGACATTGGTTTATTATGAGACTGGGAAGAAACTTAACAGTGAGAAATGAATAGCCTGGGGGGGTCCCATTTGGCTTCACGTATTGTTTCAATCAAAAATGGGTGGATAAGATAAGAACGATCTTGAGAAGGAGGAGGAGGAGAGGCTGCACCTTTGCAGCTTTGTGCATCCAAAAGTGAACTTCCCCGAAAATTCATCCTCCCTTCTTGAGGGGGAAACGTCTTGTTCTGTGAAGTGATTTGCTGACTCCAGAGGGACATCTCCCCTGTTTCCACTAAATTCTTAAGTTCAAGAATGGGTGATGAGATCGATTGCATCCCGGGGGATGTTGTGTAGATCACAAGATGACCCAAGGGGAGGGAAGAGAGGACGTAATTGGATCAATGAAATAGAATACAAAATGCGCTTTCCAGAAAGGACCATAATATAATCCATTCACTCTTAAGTTGCACAGAGAGGATAATTGCTCTGTTGCTAGAAAAAAACGAACGCTGAACACGCTGCTCCCGGTACTGATCTCAGAAGGTGCTGTGCGAAGGGGCGGCTCTGCTCCACAGGTACAGCCAGCTTTCTGAGTGAGCAAACCCCCCCCCCCCAAAAAAAAGGGCTGCATACAACGTGGCATAATCTTGTTTGCAGCTGGCTAAGAAACACAACCTGGTTGTGGTCTCTCCCATCCTGGAAAGGGACGCCGCCCACGGAGGGACACTGTGGAATTCAGCCGTGGTCATTTCCAGCTCTGGCTGCGTGTTGGGGAAGAGCCGGAAGAATCACATCCCCCGGGTGGGCGACTTCAATGAGGTGAGTTGTGGGATGGCTGGAGGGGAACAGGGGGACCCCAGCTGCCTCTGCGGGGCTGGCGCTTCGGGATCTGGGGTGGCAGGAAAGCATTCCCAGGACTGGGAACGGTGGTGGAGAGGGAGCCGTGTCCTGGCTTAATCCCCACAAGGGAAAGTAGCCGAGGGGAAGGCAGAGATCTTGGAGCAGGCAAAGTTGGGATGATGCAGCTAAGCAGCCCAAAGGGGGGGAAAAAAACCGGCATCCAGCAAGCCGAAGCTGCCATCATCTGGCGGGGTGGGGGAGCCTCTCCGGACCTGGGCATTTGGTGAACGATAGAGGGCATACGGTGTTTGGCTTTGAAAGGGCTCCAGGACAACTCTGGATCCCATTGGGATGGCAAAACTGCAGGCTTAAGGGTGAGATGGGCTGTTTTGAGGATTTGAGGTTCCAGTCAGAGGAGCCGCATCAGGAGGGGCTCTTGAGGGATGGAGGGGGGGGCCTGGGGTTTTGCAACAGATGCCAGGACCTGCAATTGCCTCATCAAGGTCCAGCGAAGCCAGGAAGGTGTTACCATGCCAGCAGTGGCGTGAAAGGCCCGGATCTCCTGCAGGGCAAAGGTTCTCTGGAACAGATGCCATTTGGCCTCCCTCTCCTAACCAAGTGGACAAACAACAAGGAAGGAACCAATGGCCAGCGGATCTCTAGTGAGGAGAGGTGTATCCCCCACCCCCCTCGGCAACCGGGGACTCAATTAGAATAGTTCCCTCCCTGGAATATTTTCCACGTTTTTTTTTACCAGCTGTACAGAAAGTTCACTTTCTGCTGCAGGTTTATTTTTATCCAGGCTCAGACCGCGACAGTGGAATCAACCCCGGGCAAAGGGCAAAGCCTCCAATCGCCTGAGCACTGAGGCCAACCTGTAGGCTATTGGGGAACCAACCCACCAAGCGGCTCTGGGTGCAAGCAGACGTTTAGCTTAGCCAAACATCCAGCTTCAACACCCCCACCCGCTCCAGACACGCTGCCAAGCATTGCCAGTCGCTCTCCCTTAACCGCAGGGACTTCCTGGGAACGTGGGAGTGCTCAAAATGCCTTCTCAAGCATCGGGCCTGGGATGAAGCCATGCATTTTGGAACCAGATTGGTGCTCAGCAGCTCTCCAGATTTCATGTGGAAGTGAGAAACAGGGCTGGGGAAGGGTCTGCAGGAAGAGGACGTGCATAGAGCCCTATGAACAGGTCAATCCTGGTGGGGGAGGGTCCTGTAGATGGGGCCGGACATAGACTGGGTAGGGATTTATTTGTGCAAAGTCCAGCAAAACAACTGAAATTGCTCTTGGAAGAAATGGGTAAAGTTTTCTTTAGCTATTATGAATATTTTCAGAGGCAGCCACAGAGCTCTTAGCATCAGCTTAGAGCTATGTAGCAGCAACAAAGGGTTAAATGGATGAGAGAGGGGGGGGCTGAAGTGAGTCCCTCCACCTGCTCTGTGTACTAACTTGGCTTGTTTTCCTGCTCATTACCATTTTTTTTCAAGGAAGGAACTGAGTATATCTAGAGAGAAACTAGAGAAGCCTTTGCAAATAATGAACTTGTATGTAATGGATTAAACACAGTGAGCAAACAAAATGTTTGGGAGGCTACAAATTTAATAAAGAAACTAAGGAAAGAAAGCAAAGGGGAGACCGAAGTCACCGTTTCTGCACCAACGTTTGAAATACGGGTAACAACATGAGCTGAATATCATGAGGCACAGAGACCGATCAAGGACCCCAAGATCCCACCAGAGAAATGGTGTGGACACCTTGAACCAGAGGAAGATGCATCAGAAAAGAGGGGGGGGGAAGTGTCGAAGTCCTGGACACGGCCACTCCTTTAGGGTCATGGGAGCGTGGAAGGCGTCTGGGTTCAGGCAAAAGGGGGACCTCATAGGAAAGAGGTCTTGCTGGGAGTCCACTACACACCACCAACCAGACTCGGAATAGTTATTCAAGCGATAGCTGAAGCTTCAAAACCCCAAGAAGTGGCTGCAATGGGAGATTTCAATCACCCAGACATCTGTTGGGAGGCTAATTCACAAAGCTGGGGATTGCAATCTCACCTGGGTCATGGAGGCGCCTGGGATCAGTGGGGCACTGGGAGAAACGCCAGGTGTCCTATTTAGGGAGGTCAAATCTACTGTAGGATGCACACAAGGCTTGGAAACACGATGTCTTGGGTGCAAGAGGGCTGCTGGAAAGCCCTCACACCCAACAGCAGAGCCACAGTGGAAAAAGCACTGCATTAAAGGAAGGGGAAGGTTTTGCCCACCCCTCGCTCAGCCCTGGTGAGGCCATACCCGAAGCATCGTGGACGATTCTGGCCACCACAGTTCCAGAGACTTATTGGCGGTCAGAAGACCTTCAAAGATGACCCAGGCCTTGAGGACTGTCTACAGGAGAGATGCCAGGGCCCAGTTACATGAAAGGGGGTCCCAGAGGGGCTATTCCCCAGGCCACTGGGAAATCTAGGGCCAGAAATAAGGGGTGTCAGTTGCAGCCACCTAGACTTCATTGAAATGTAAGAAGAAAGCACTTTTGGCAGGAAATGCTGCTCTGGAGAGGAGAGGCCCACCTGCAGAGGCTTGTGGGTTCTCCATCTTGACGTTGGTGAGAAGAAGCCAGGCCTGGGCCATTTAGGCGTGGCTTAATAACGCTCTTCCTGCGGAGGTTGGGAGTGCAAGAGGCTCCGGGGTTCTAACCGTGACTTAGTCCTGAAGTGTCAGGTCAACTCTTTTGCAGTCGAGATATTATCTGGAAGGGGACCGAGGACACCCAGTGTTTGAGACGCAGTTTGGGAGGATCGCGGTGAATATTTGCTTTGGTCGCCATCATCCCCTCAACTGGCTCATGTACAGTTTGAATGGAGCAGAGATCATCTTCAACCCTTCGGCCACTATTGGCAAACTCAGGTATAGTTACCATCTTCCTTTTTGTTGTGGTTGCAGAAAAATGGGAAAAAAAACAGTTGGATTAGATGCCACGAATGGCAGGATTTTGCAGCTTCCTGATGAGAAGGCATCCAGGTAGTCTCTTGGCCTGGACTCAGGACTTACCTTGTCTCCAGACGTTCAGGTCTTCCCATCTATTCTGCAGCACTTCCGGGATCTTTGCTTGGATTCCCGAGAGGACGGCTTGTGTCCTTCTGCCCCCTTCAGCCAGGAGAGCCAAAAGGAAGCCAGGCAGAAGGAATTCTCTTGGATCTGCTTCTTGCCCTGAGGAGAAGTCTGGGAGCCTTCTCCAAAACAATCAGTTTAATTTCCCTGTTCTTCCTCTCTCTATCCCTCTATCATCTCCCTCTCTCTATCCCACAATCCCTCTATCATCTCCCTCTGTCTCTCTCTCTCTCTCCTGGGTTTAACTGATGCCTTTGCAGGAGCCCAGACAGCATCTCAGCTTCAAAAATTCCAGTGCAGCTGGTAGTTCTCCTGACCCCCTTTGGGCTTTTACAGCCATCTGGCCAGTTCTCCAAATACTGCAATGCAACAAGACAAGGGGGATGTGCCCCATTTTGTGACTCTTAACGGGATATTCCTTGTCTCACGATGGGATTTCTCCTGTTAAGACTCTCTCGGAGAAATGGGCCCCTCCAAAGCTGACCAGCATCTGCGCTAGCATCAACATCAGTGGCATAAAGCAGCACAGCTACAGCAGGCGGATTACAAGTTTTACACGTGGAATCTTTTTTTTTTTTTTTGAAAAATTTATTTGGGTTTTCACAAAAAAAAACATAATACAAATAAAACATCTTTTTTTTTTTTTTAAATAGCATGGCCCCGGGTTACACTTCTTCATACAGACACAAATTCAATTTCATGCTCATTCTTTGTTCTATTCTATATCTTATTACTGTTTTACATTTTCTACATAGTTTTTCCCCTCTTTTAATTTTCTCAACTTTATTTTGATTATCTCATCTCAATTCCAAATCATTATATTTATACTTTTGTCTGTCCTGTTTCAATTTCATATTATTTTTTCTCATTAAACAAATCTTCTCCTGTAGTTCCTAATTGGAGTATGACGCCTTTATATCTTTTAATTTTATCCATTCAACTCTTATTTAAGCTTCAATGTATACCTTTAAGATTATAACATTCAATATAATACATAACTTTCAATCGTTCTTTTCAATTAAATATCACACTTCCTTGGGAACACTTATAAACTTTCCATAATTAATTTTTTTCCATATTTCTTTTCACTTATATTTTATAAATCATTAATAATAATTAAAATGTCCCCATCCTTTCCTAATTTAATTCTCTCATTCACTTTATTTCATTTGTTTATTAACAAGCATTACGTGGAATCTTTTTCATGTAAGGAGGCTACGTTACAGGAATGCAAAAGGTTAAACCGTGATAGAGCCAAGATGCAACCTTTTATTATTATTTCACCTGTTACTGTGTGGGGTAAGCACCAGCCTCCCATCCAAGATTATGCAGGAAAGGTAAAGGAATGCTTCATTAGCCTTTCTCGAGTTCACCCATAACCCTGCAGATAACTAGTTGCAGGCAGGTTCCTCCTGATCATGTTTTATTAACTTTATATACTGGTTGCTGTTTCAGATGACAGATTTCTTAGACCATCATGTTTCTTCCAAGAAGACCCAGAGGAGCCCCCTCCCCCCAGTTGAGTTTGGAAGTTGGGTTTCCCTCATAATTTTTCCCTATCTCTTCTTCAGCTGTTGGGAGGGGAAATAAAAGCCTAAATCATGGTTTGGATCAGCCCAAACACACCTGGCAGAGGTCCTGGGGGATCAGTAGAATTCAGGAGGCCCCTGTGTTGGTTGGGTGGATAAATGCTGACCCAGCTGTGGTTCAGGTGGTCCTCAGGCCACCACTGCTTTGGGAGAGTCAAGGGTAAATCTTGGCACCTGCTCGCAGCTGGGCTGTCATCCCAACAGTGATGACTTTGTGAATTGGACTTTCCTTGAAAGGTGCCTGAAAAATGTTCAGCTGGTGCAAAACGTGACCCTGGGGTCCCATCAGAGAGAGTTTTGCTGGCTTTGGCTTTGCCCCGAGGCACAAAGAGGAATGCCACACTCTTCCCACAGGGCTCTGCTATGCTGAGTGCCCCGTTGCCCAGGGGAAGCAGTGGTGGCCTCCTCAGAGGGGCTCCTTCACGGAGTCTCACCCTTTTCTGTAGCTCCTGGTTTCTATGGGTTTCAGGTTGATTTTTTTGCTCCTGGTTATTATTCAGAGGTTTGCCGCATTTTATTGTAGGCCTGTCAGGGTGCCCTGTGCCCAGTTCATGGCCAAAGAAGCCGCCTGGGTGGAAGAAAATATAATTTTCTTTTACAGTGAATCCATGTGGCCCATCGAGGCAAGAAATGCCGCCATTGCCAACCACTGCTTCACCTGTGCCATCAACCGCGTGGGGACGGTAAGGCCTTTCAGTTCTCCTTGGCCAAAGATTTGGGTTTAGAAACTGTGGCTTTAGAAAAAATGGTCTTTGCAAAGTTATCTTGGGTGTCAAATCCTTATGCTGGGGGTGGGTGGGTGGGTGGGGGCTCATGCCAGCCAGTCTAAAGTGCTTTGTTAGTGGCTAAAAGTCTCTTTCTGCTAAACAGAACCACACTAAATATGGAGCAGTTAACACAAAACATAGTTGATTTAAGGGACAACAGAATTCTATATATAAACAAATATTTAATAAACCCTTGGTATAGACACGTGTGTATGCTGAAGTCCACAAGGGAAGTGCGTGTTTGTGTGGGGAGCATTCACACTCCTGCTGTCTCCTTCCCACCATTTCTGGGGAGGGAAGTGCCCCCTCCTGCTGAGCAATCTATTTTATTTATTTATTTATTTGTCAAGCGATTATAATATAACAGGTATAAGTAAAAACATAGGTATGAATACATGGATACATATAAGAAAAATAGGACAGGGACGGTAGGCACGTTGGTGCGCTTATGCATGCCTCGTACAAACCTCTTAGGAAAGGGGTGAGGTCAATAGTAGACAGTCTAAGGTTAAAGTTTTTGGGGTTTGGGGAAGAAACCACAGAGTCAGGTAGAGGATTCCAGACATTGACCACTCTGTGGCTGAAGTTGTATTTCCTGCAATCGAGCTTGGTGCGGTTTACTTTGAGTTTGTATCTATTGTGTGCTCTTGTGTTGTTATGGTTGAAGCTGAAGTAGGACATTGCAATATATAATTTTATGTACTATACTTAGATCGGACCGAAGGCGGCATAGTTCTAGGTTTTCTAGGTCTAGAATTTTGAGTCTGGTGGCATAAGGTATTCTGCAACGAGTAGAGGAGTGGAGAACTCTTCTTGTGAAATATTTCTGGACTTTCTCAACTGTATTAACATCAGATACGTAATGCTGGTTCCAGACTGATGAGCTGTATTCGAGTATTGGTCTAGCAAATGTTTTGTATGCTCTCGTTAGTAGTGTGATATTACCAGAGAAAAAGCTACGTAAGATTAGGTTAACAACTCTTAATGCCTTTTTGGCTATGTAGTTACAGTGGGCTCTGGCACTTAGATCATTAGAGATGAGAACTCCAAGATCCTTGACAGAGTTTGGATCATCAACAAGGTCTCGACTATTCAGCCTGTATTTTATTTTCTGATTTTTTTGCCAATATGTAAGACAGGGCATTTATTTGTTGAGATTTGAAGTTGCCATTTGTTTGACCATTCTGATACATAGTCGAGGTCTTTTTGAAGGGTAGCAGTATTGTCTGTGGTGTTGAACAGCTTTACATCATCTGCGAAGAGGACGCAGTTGCTCTTGATATGATCACAGAGATCATTTATGTAGAGTATGAAGTTGGTCCTAGAACATTGCCTTGGGGGACACCACTGTTGACAGGTACAGAATTTGATAGGACGCTTCCAATTTTGACCATTTGTCATCTGTTTGACAGGAATGCTTCTATCCAGTTATGCAGTTGTCCAGAGATACCATAAGATTTTAGTTTTAGGAGTAGTTTGTCGTGTTCCACTGAATCAAAGGCTTTACAGAAGTCTATGTAGATTGCGTCTATTGCTTTGCCCTGACCGGGTTGTGCAGTCCATATGTTTTTGCAGCGTAAGAGTTGCAGATTGCAGGATAGTTTTTTTTTTCTGAGAAACTCTGAACAAATCTTGCCCTTTCCTTCCTTCCCTGCCATTCAGACAGGCTGAATGTCAATCACAATTCTGATCGTTGCCCAGAGGGGGGGAGGTCAGTCCTCTTCCTGGAAGCTCCAGGCGCCTCCAGTGTCCCCAGGGATCTGGACCCAGTGGGGGTGGGGAGGGGCAGGTACAGGCCCTTCTGCTCTCCATGTTCCCTTCTCAAAGCCAGTAGCAGCTGGAGAAGAGGAATAAATGCTTCCAAAGCGGACAGAAGCCACTGGATGCACAAGGATTGCTGGCTGATGTGCCTCCTGTTTTCTTTTGAATAGAGATGGGGACCTGTGACCCTTTGTAACTTGCAGATTTCAACTCCTAGAATTCCTCAGGAATTATGGGAGTTGAAATCCACAAGTCATAAAGGGGCCTTAGCTCAACCCCCCCTCCCCCCCGCTTTACAGGTGTGTGTGTGTGTCTCAGTTTGTACCTCTTGGCTTCTCACAGGAACTTTTCCCACATCCCTTTACATCTGGAGATGGAAAACCAGGTGCGTATGGCTTTTTCCCTGGGGAGGGCAGATGTGCTGGCTGGCAACTGCAGGGGCTCCTCCTCACCTCCCTCTCCAAGTCCTTTGAGGGCTAAAATCTGGCGGGAGGAGGAGGATGCCAAGTCAGCTATTTCCTCCACCCACCTGCCCTTTTCCCTCCTAAGAAAGTATATTGACGGTAGCTGGGAAACAGCAATGGAAATACATGAGGTTACGAAGAGGCAACTGGACTTTCTGGTTGTTCTTTGAAGACATTTCGCTTCTCACTCAAAGAAGCTTCTTCACCTCTGAGTGGAAGGTGGGGAATGGAAGGATTTATACTTCTTGAGGAGAGCTGATCCTTTGCATCGTTTTAGCCAGTCGTTAAGGCCACCTGGAGGTTTGTCTGTCACCAGGGTGCAAATAGCTGAAGAAGCTTCTTGGATGAGAAGTGAAATGTTTGAAAAACCAGAAAGTCCAGTTGCCTCTTGAAAAAGCAGCTTTGGGACAACCAGGACCATGAACTGAGAATCTCAACAGACAATTAGGTTACAAAATACGGCATGGGAGAAGAAAGAGCCAAACGCATTATTGCTTGGGAAAGTGAGCGTGGAAAAAAAGTCTAGAATTGCCATTGATCGCAACCTGATCACGACCCGGAAGTAGAACAAATTTTCCCTCTACTTTCCATGAATTAACTTTGGCCGGTGATGAATATTGGGCTTCTGAAAAGAACTCAGGCAAATTAGAAAGGCTTCCGTGAAGGACAGCGATGATGAACAGACAACCAAGAAACGTGTCAAGAGGACAGATTGGGAGAATCAGGGTAAAGTTGGGGGTGAAGGACTCAGGGTGGGAATAGCCAGTTGAAGCCCATCCTCAACTGTGGAGACTCACTTGATGGCTACGTTCCCTCTCCCCCCTCCTTCCCTCTCTCTCTCTTTCTTTCTCTCCTCTCTCTCTCCCCTCTCTTTCCGTTTCTCTTTCCTCCCTCCCTCCCTCTCTGCAACCCAACCTATCTTGTAAGGACATTGTAGGAGCATTTGGAGGGGGGGGCTACTTATATCCCTCAAGCTGAAGAAAAGGCCCCCCCCCGTGTCAGTCTGATGGGTAAAGGGCAAAAAAGACCCCCAAGGAAAGATTCCTGAAGAGCAGATAGCAGCTGGAAAGAAGTCACACCAGCCAGCAAAAGTCCCTGGACAGTCCCAGAGGGCAGGATTAACGGACTTAAGAGACCGGAAAGCAGATTGCGATATAAAAAGCCTTTAAAAAGGAGCACTTGGAAAGCTGGAGGCTCTCTTCATCTTTTCTCCGGGGTGCTGGAATTTGGAACCTGGTGGGCAAGGGATGGACTTGTTCTTGCGAAATCGTGTCCGAACCATTGCGACCTTCTGGACCACGTTCCCCCCAGGCCTCCCTGTCCTCTACCATCCCCTGGAGTCCATTTAAGATCACACCAACTGGTCCAGTGACTCCATCCATCCGGCTCCTTCTCTGCCATCCTCTTTTCCTCCTTTAGCGCTCCATCGTTCCCAGCATTACGGCTCTTTTCCAGTGAGTCCTTCTTCCTTCTCGTGAGGTGGCCAAAGTCTTTTGAGTTTCACCTTCAGGATCTGGCCTTCTAAAGAGCAGTCAGGGTTGATCTCCTCTGGGACTGA